GCCACATGACATGCAAAAAACCGTGCGAAAAAAAAAAAACGTGCAAAATCATGTCATGTCAAAATCATGCAAAAACCATGTCAAAACCATGTCAAAATCATGTCAAAATCATGCAAAAACCATGCAAAATCGTGCAAAAACCATGCAACAACCATGCAAAACCGTGCAAAAACCATGTCATGTCATGCAAACATGCAAAAACCATGCAAACATGCGGCGCTGGCGTCTACGCAGGCAGGCGCGGCAGGCAGGCTAGGGCGCGGCAACCCGCCGAACATCCACTCTCCCCGGCTTCCTTGCTATACGTGCTATATGTGCTATATGGCTCTTACAAGGCAAGCCACTGAACATCCACTCTCCCCGGGTTCCTTGCTATATGTGCTATATGTGCTATATGGGTCTCACAAGGCAAGCCACTGAACATCCACTCTCCCCGGGTTCCTGCTATATGTGCTATATGTGCTATATGGGTCTCACAAGGCAAGCCACTGAACATCCACTCTCCCCGGGTTCCTTGCTATATGTGCTATATGTGCTATATGGCCCTATATAGCACATATAGTACAAATTTTCGCGCGTACCGAGTATATAGTACATATAGTACATATAGCAAGGAGCTGGGGGAGAGTGGGGGTTCAGCGGCTTGGCGTGTAAGGGGGACCCATTATTAGCACATATACACATATAGGCATGGATACGCGGGGAAGGAGTGCGAGGAGAGTGGGGGTTCAGCGGCTTGGCGTGTAAGACCCATATAGCACATATAGCACATATAGCAACGAGCCGGGGTAGAGTGGAGGTTCAGCGGCTTGGCGTGTAAGACCCATATAGCACATATAGCACATATAGCAACGAGCCGGGGAAGAGTGGGGGTTCAGCGGCTTGGCGCGGCTTCAATGCCGGGCAGGCGCGGCCGGAGTGCCAAGAACATGTTCATCCGACATGTAATCCGACATGTTGAAATTAAGCGCGTATAGCGGCTTGGCGCGGCAGAAATGTGAACACGAGTGGCAATTGTATTGGCACTTGTGTTGAAGAAATTAAGCGTATAGCAAGAAATCCTGGGGGAATTTCAATGCAGGGTTTCTGCAGGGAATCCCTGCATTCCCTGTATCCCTCTCTTTAGAAGACTTTTCAGCAGTTCTCAGGCGAACCTCTCTCTGTAGAGGGGGTTTTCCAAATGGCTTATATTCTACCTGAGAGGCTTCTAGCACTCGTCCGTCCAGCATTTGACCTCGTCCTGCGAAGGATTCGAAGTCTAAAACGCTGCGTGCAGGCGTGTGGCTGCAAAATAGAGACCCCTAGATATGCGCTGCAATTTGGCTCCAGGTTGCATTTCAAGCGATGTCAAGCTTTGCCAAAGGAAACCCCTTTTCCCTTTTTTTCGGGGACCCCTTTTTTTTGGACCCCTTTTTTTCTTTTTTTTGTTTTTCTTAGCCCTGCAAAGGTTGGCTCGCTTGAAATGCAACCTGGAGCCAAATTGCAAGCATATCTAGGGGTCTCTATTTTGCAGCCACACGCCTGCACGCAGCGTTTTAGACTTCGAATCCTTCGCAGGACGAGGTCAAATGCTGGACGGACGAGTGCTAGAAGCCTCTCAGGTAGAATATAAGCCATTTGGAAAACCCCCTCTACAGAGAGAGCTTCTTCATCGCGGCATGAAGGGGTAGGGCTTGCCGCCAAGGCCTTTATGTCGGCCAGGTCCACCTGCAGCTGGTTCATGGGCTCCAGAGGCACGAAGCTGTTGTAGCCTCTTTGCGGCCGGTCCTGGTTCACCCGGAGGCCGTCCAGAAACGCCTTCACCTCCCCTCTGGAGATGCTGGGGTCGCGCACCTGGCCTGCTGCAGCGTCTGCGCTATGCTGCCGAAACCGGTGCGGGGATCCTCGTAGACGGCCTTGATGGTTCGCCTGCGGGCGTCGGCCATGTTTCTTATGGATTCTTCGGCGCCCGCTGGGCCTGCCAGGCTTCCACCTCGTCCAGCCGGCCTGGAAGCCCTTGCACACTCCCCAGAGCACGCTGGTGAGGTGAGAGTAGTCGAGGGTGACCATCTCCGTGCCGTCGCTCCACCGCGTGGTCCCCGTCAAATTCTTCCACTTTGTTCCTGCAAAGTCGTCCGAGGCGAAGCCCAGCCTCAGGTCCCCGTTCATGTCCGGGCGCTTGTACTGCTTGGCCTCCACGGAGTCGAAGAGCTGCAGGAGCTCAGCCACGTCGGCCTCGGCGATCTCCGTCTTCACCCTGCTGTCCGACAAGTCCGTGAAGCTCGTGTTGCAGACCACGTTGCCCGTGTTGCCCGCGATCACGAGGCAGCCGGGGTTCCTGTGGTTCGTGGTCAAGGACAGCTGCGTCGAGAGGCTCTTCGTCTGCACCAGCGCCTCATCGTTGATCATGATGAGCTCGCACTGGTGCGTCCCGCCGTCCCGCTCCAGGAAGACCCTGGCGCTCTGGTTGCCCAGGAGCCGCAGCTCCGGGCCGCTGTCGGAGGCCGCGCTGTTGTTGGAGATCTGCAGCTTGCTCCAGCCCGCCCAGTTCTTCGTCAAGAAGAGATCGTCCGAGAAGTCGGAGGTGTTGGTCACGATGAGCGTGTTGGACGCGAAGAGCTGCGGCGCGGAGACCGTGCCCGAGCTCGTCACGTCGCCGCAGACCACGCTGCCCGTCGACACTCCGCCGCTCGTGGCCGTGAAGGTGCAGTCCAGGCTCTCGCAGTCCAGCGGGCCCGTGGAGGCCGCACCGGTGATCGTCAGTGTGGCGCCCGTGAGCGCGCCGGTGGCTGCGAAGCTCGCCGCGGTTGCTGCGCCCGAGGCCGTCAATGTCCCCGTGGACACGTCGCCCACCGTGGTGAAGTTCCCGGCGTTGGCCGTGTTGTTGATGGTCAACGTGCTGCCCGTGATTCCCGTGGCGGAGCTCAGCAGGCCCACGCTGGCCGCGCCGCTGATGCTCAGCGAGCTGCCTGACACGGCCCCTGTGGTCGACAGCGCGGCCCCGGCGACGGTGCCTGTGGCTGTGAGCGCGGCGCAGGAGACTGTGCCCGAGGCGTCCACGCCCGTGGTGAACACGTCGGTGCAGTTCACGTCGTTGCACAGCAGCTGGTCGCAGCCCACGTTGCCCTGCGCGGTGAGGCCGTCCAGCGTGGCCGAGCCCGTGAGGGCCAGCGAGTCCGCCAGCAGGTCCGTTACTGAGACAGACTCTCCCTCGAAGGCGCTGGCCCTGATCTGCATGCTGTACAGGTCCAGCGTGCCCGCCGACTGCTGCACCAGCCCGGGGATCGAGCCTCCGAAGGCTCCGAAGTGCAGCTTCGCGATTCCGCCCGGCGGCACTGAGAAGTCCAGGCGCGCGTGCTCCAGACACCCTGCGAGGCCGTGCCGAGGAAGGTGCCGGTGACGCCCACGTAGTCGTTGTCGGCCGCGCTGACGTACATCACCAAGTTGGAGGCCGTGCCCAGCCGGTACCGGCAGCCGAAGGAGTAGCGTCTCCCCGGCGTCAGCGTGTAGGTGCGCACGATGTTCCAGGCGAAGGCGCTCAGGGTCATGGCGTAGCCCTCCAGCTGGAAGCCTCCCACCGTGAAGCTGGCCGAGGCCACGGAGCTCTGGCTGTTGGAGCGCACCAGGAAGTTGCCTAGCGTGGTGAGCGTGGGCTCCAGCAGCACCTCGCCCAGGGTGGCCAGCGTGACGTCGTCGGCCCCTCCGTCGAGGAACTCGTGCTTCAGCAGCAGCGCCGAGGCCGCCGTGTCCTCCTCCGCCTCCACCGCGTTGCCGCTCTCCAGGGTTGCGTCCAGGATCTGGAGGCCGTAGACGTCCACCGTTCCAGCCGTCTGCTTAAAGGGGCGTGGGGGTTAGTATCTATTTAGCCTACTCACTATGTACATAGCCAACATGCAAAAGAACTTACAGCACATGGCAAATTACATAGCAAAGTTACACAAATTGATTTATCGCACTTAGGCAAATGTACTTACAAGACTTACGACGTAAGGAAGGAACGCAGCCATAACCATGCACGGGGCAATGGCTGCAGCTGCCAAAAGCAAAATTATATTTGAAAGAAGACAAAAACAAGTCCTTCGCGATGCCAAAATGGCATGATCGAATGATGCGCACACACCACGCAGCGCTTCAAGTCTTCACGCAAGGGCCTCAAGTCTGCATGCAGTGCCTCGTGTCTTCATGCAAGGGCGGCAAGTCTGCACGCAACACCTTATATACAAGTTATAAAGGGCCTCAAGTCTGCATGCAGGGCCTGGGGCTCGCAAACATGTTTAGCACGCGCACGCAACTTTACAATGAAGAGCGAAGGCTGGGGAACAAAGAGGATCAAACTGCCCCAATGAAACATCACTTAGTATTTACTTTATCAACTTTGACTAAAAAGACTCGCCCCTTGCTTGCGCATGCGTGCGCAGGCTCGAGCAGGCAAGCTCGCAGGGCCGCTGGCTCGCAACAGTTTTGCACGGTTGCAGCGTACCTTGCAATCATGCAGAACACGCACGAATTCAACAAGCACAAAAAAAAAAGCTCCCCATGCACAGATTCTGAAACAAGCATGCATGCAGGGCCATGGGCTCGCAAGCCAATTTGCACTGCTGCGTGAACACGCCTTGCAATCACTGCGCAAACCAAATCTAAGCTGCAGGACCAAAGGCTCACTTTTGCACGGATATACAAACAGATCATGCCTTGCATGCATGCCAGTGATCTTGAAGTCTATGGCAGGCGGAGCATACACATGCATTTTTAGGGTTGGAATCTGAATCCACAGCTTGGAACACCTTCCCCTCCACCAAATAGAAGTGGAAACTGGAAGCAAACCCAATGCAACTTGGTGGTCCACAAGCAGTGGGCTTTTCCAACTCACGGCCGTGCTCCCATGCACAGATTTAAGCGGGCGGCAAAAGTACAATTGCAGCACCATCGCGTTGAGACCAAGGGCATGTGCCCAAGATCCATTCAGTAGGAATCAGGACTGGGTTGTCCTTGACTCTGTACATGAAGCCGTCCACAGTATTTCAAAGGTGCACGCATGACCATGTGACCTGCCCCACGGCAGCATGGAATTCTATACGGCCGACGCGCTTCTCCACCTGGGCAGCATGATATAGCTGGATCGAAGCTATATCGCCTCTGGCCACAGTATACCCTCCTGCGTGGATTGCGTCCGCTGCTGATTCAACCACGGCGTCCTCGAGAGCGCCCAAGCTTTGCCTGACCACGTTGGCAAGCCGCTTTGGGGCCGCCCTGGCATTGACCAGAGACACAGCGGAACCAGGCATTTCTGCAGGAGACTTCATAACATCGAACTGCCGGTAAACGATGTCCTGCAAGACTGATGACTCGAAGGCCTTGCTAGTGTCCAAAACATGATTTGCAACCCGCTTGACGCATTTGTGTTTGCGCTCGTGCACGAAGCAGCTTACCAAGCATCCGTGCTTCTTCAGCTGCAAGGGCAAGTGGAGGGATAAGTGAAATTTTGTTGTCCAGTGATCAACGCCATGGATGCGTTTGAAGGTCTCCAGATGCTGCTGGACAGTCTGCAAGAGCATGTTGGCATCATGCCTTCGATGTGGCAAGGTCGTATATGTGTCAAGGATCTCGCAAAGCAGAAAAAAACACTCTACCACGTCCTTGACCTCCAGACAAAAAGAAGAACAAAGGCTCTCAGCAGTTGTACAAAGTTCAGCAGCTCACTGGCGCTACACTTGATGGGCTCGCTGGCGCCCCGTTTGTCGAGCACAGTCTTGGGCGCTGCTCCTCGAAGCCGAGCTGGCCAGTTGAAACCTTGCGCAAATTCGCGCATGTGCTTGATGCTGAAGCCATGTCGTGCCAAAACGCCGACCACCAGGCCACATTGCACGTTGGCCACGCCATGTACCAAGTACACATGCATCCAATCGAACATTGTTCTCTCCACAAACTTTGGGCCCCATTCTGGCTGTGCCAGCAGGCCGTGAGGTCGGAAGTTGAAGCCGAGAGACTGCTCCAACTTGGCAAACTGCCCGAGGTTCAGAACTGAGCGCTGCTCCTGCAAAAAAGCAATGAGTTGCTTCACACTGTTCTCTGTGTGAAGGCGCCATGACCTCACATCAGTGCTCAAAGAGCTCACCAACTCGCCGGACCGGTCATGCCACTGAAGCTGGCTCTTGAAGTCGATGACGTTGGAGCAGTGGCAACAAAGAACTGTCCCTGAGGCGCCTTTGTTTTCCAGGGCCTGCTTGATGGCCGCTTCGTCTGCAACAAGGACACCGATGTCGGCAAAGACCAAGGTGCCATATGTTCTCAAATACAGGCCTGTTCGGAAATCATGGCCGGTAAAAAACAATTCCATAGCCTGCCGCCACAGCTTTGACATGCCGCCAAGTTTCTGCACCAGGCATGACCGTACGGCCATTAATGGGAACCAACAAGATTCAGTGCTAAGAGCATGTGGACCAAGTTCCCAAAATGACCAATACAGAACTTGAAGTTTACGAGCGTTGCAGTGTTTGAGCTGGTTCCCCGGGCTCACTTCATCAGCATAGACCACTATCTTCCACGGCGCCGTATGGCTGCATGGGCTGGCTTGGAGCCGTGCCTGAAAGAAGGACCTCCACCCAGCGCACTGATACGTCGCAGACGCCAACCAAGCTGCTGGAGGGAGGATGGGCACCTTGACAACTTCTCCGGGCTTGTCCTCCTCAGGCACATCCATGAACTGCATCAAAGGTCCGAACTCGGTGCTGCATTCCGCCAGCTGCTCATCCCTACGCCTTTTGATGGTCCTGCGAGATACACTGTCAGGGAGCTCGCCCAACTGCTTCACATCTGCAAGCACTGCCTCCAGGCCCCGTATAGACACATATGACCTTCGACCTATAGAGGAGAGGCGTGCTGCAGAACTGGCGCTGCTGGCGTGCACAGGCTGCACTGCCAGCGAAGAATCCGCCATGGTCGGCACGCAAGCCAAGCGAGGCTGCTGGCGTGCACAGGTTGCACTGCCAGCGAAGAATCCGCCATGGTCGGTACGCAAGCCAAGCGAGGCGATGGACTACAACGTGTTGTGTGATGCGGGAACTTTTCTCAAAACTGAGAATCAAAAGCTGGTTGGGGAAAACTGGCAAATAGACAAGCTTTCCTAAATAGCTCGGTCACCTCTATATATATCGCCCTGAGCGCAACGACTGCGCCGCATGCGATCACCAAGCAACGCATGGCATGGCTCACAAACTGGGCTCATCACCGCCAACTATATTGGAAACATGGAATGCAGGCCATGGCCAATCACGTGAGTGTGGAGCGGTCATTGAACTCATTTTAAGCCGCCAACCTCACACGGATGTTCTCGCTCAAGCATATACACCTGCAGCGGGCCCAATCAAAAAAAGAGCCCAACATGTTGCAGAAGCACCAAGCGCTCAATGTATTCAAGCTGACAAAGCAAGTCGATCATACGCTCTTTTCAATCCACCGATTTGTGCGTGCAAAAGGACATGCATGGGCTCCCCAAGTGGGCATGTCCAAGACATGACGTGGCCACATCACTGCATGCAAGCCCTTCATGCACACGCAAAACTAGCTGGCAAACATTGACAAAATGCCTTCAAGGGAAATAGCAAGAAGGAGCACACCCCGGCTGCCATCGGCACTTGGCGCATCCGTGGGGACTTTTGCGCATACGCTTGTCCTTTGGCCAGCTTGCCACTTGGGCACGCTTCGCCACCTTCCACTCCCACCCCTTGTCGGTTGACTCGGCTTTTGTCTTTGGCTTGCAAACCGCCATCTTAGCCTTTGGCTTGGCGCCTGGCTTGGCCTTTGGCTTGGCACATGGCTTTGCCGCAGCCTGTGATCTAGCGCTCGGCTTCTTCATGGCGGCCTTGCCCTTGGCACTGGCCTTTGGCTTGTCTGCAGGCACACTCCCATCCGCAGCCTCCTGCGAGTCAGACTTGCTCTTCCAGCTATCTAACATGATCCTTGCCTGCGACGCAGGGTCCAAGGGCTCTTTGTCACGGGAGCTGCTGGCCGGCGGCGAGGGAGCAGGCGACGTGTTTGGCGTAGTGGGCGTTGTTGGCCTGATGAAAGGGCCGGGGCTCGGCCCATCTTCCAGACCAGGGCTCCCAGGGTGACCAGCTGCTGGGGCAGGGGCTTCCTGTGGCTGGCGGTCACCAAGCGCAAGGCGAATGGTTGCCCTTGTCTGCGGCAAGTATTGAATAGGAGCCCTGGTGGAGGGAGCGTTGAGCATGCCTGCAGCTGCAGCTGCAAACATCTGCATCATCCCCTGCAGGGTTTGTGGCTGCGAAGTCGCAGTTGATGCAGGCAACACCTGCCGGGAAGTCTTTCTGACAGGACCAGCCGGTGGCAATCCTACGGCAGGGCTTTGAGCAGCCCCAACTGGCTTCTCTTCCTTCCAGACAATGGACTTGATTTCTTTCGGAAGGTCATCAGGGTTGTCAGGCCGTCTCCAAGTGCCAGGCGTGGCGCACGGTTTTTGAGGCTGATTTCACACTGCGCTTCAACTCCTGCACTGCGCTGAGGAAATGGTTGCCATCAGCAAGCTCGGCAGCGCCCAACTCCCTGATAGTTGCAACCACGTGCCCTGATGTGGGCTCTGAGGGCATCACCAGGCCCATCCGCACCATGACGTCAGCTGCGTAGTGCACCTTCTCAGCTGCAGGACGATCGCTGCTGAGGAAGTTTGAGTTTGTGTCAAATAAGCTGCAAATGCGCTCATGCGCTGCAGAGGCCGTCTGGCACCGGCGATCTTTTGGGGATCTTTCTGTTGGGCAGCAAGGGCAACCGCAGCTGCCAGCTGCTCTTTCTCTGCCTCAGACCATGGGCCTTGGGCAATGACATTGGACACGGCAGCAGCATCGGCAAGGGTCAGCTTTGACTGCGAGATCTTCTTCACCAAGCTCATGGCTTGGCCGACCCTTAGAGCCGCGCAGTTTCCTGTGATGGCGTTCTGCGCCGCCAAGAAAGCGCACACGTGTCGGATCTCCTCAACGAGGGCGTCCGCCATGCTGCTGCGAGTCTACAGGCAGGCGCGCTGAAGGGCTGACAGCGAGCGACACAGACGCCCTGCCGCCGCATGCATCTCTCAAGACATGACCGCACCCGTGCGAAACAAGATTGGAACATGATAGCAAGCTCGTCCTGGCACTTATACACATGCAAGCAAACACACATGCAAACAAATGCTGCAAGGCTAGCATGTCCGAAAGGAAGATGGCACAATGTCTATATACTTTTGCAACCGTGACGGAAATCAAGCGTGCACTCACCACTCTGCAGCTTCTCTGCACAAAACGCTCCTTAAGGCTGTGCGAGAGAGCGCAGCAAGACATGTGGAGAGACTGGTTTACCTCGCCTCAGGCTATGCAAGAAATGCATCCACCTGACCAAGGCACGGCCTGACTTGCGGCGGATCCTGATGTCCAAACGACCACGCACTGGGCTATGGAGCGCGGCAGGCGCCCATAGAGCGAAGCGCATCGGCAAGAGCAGGCTGCCCGGGAAGACGAGGCGAATCGGCACATGGGGTGGCACCTTATCGGACAGGATTTCCCTGAGACGCACTTCCAGCCCCTTCACGCTCAAGCGCTGCCACACGTCCAGCGACACCGTCCCCACGCACTCGCCGCTGAGGCTACGGGCAATGAACTCCACGCATCCACTCGGGGGTGTTTGACGGAAGGCCAACTCGATGTTGCAGACAAACGTGGACTGGATGAACTCCCGAATGCACACCGCGTGGCCCGAGCCGCGGTGCTGGAAGAAGTGGTACGTGCGGCAGTCTTGCCGCAATTCTTGAGACCCGCGCTCCATTTTCCAGTACCTTCCGCCTCCCAGAGGCATATATATGGCGTCACCGCCACTTATGAAGCGCTCCCTCTGCACGGGGGGGACGATTGTCCATGCGCCTGGAGCAGGGGCTTCATCATCCTCGCACATATGGCACCACTCATACATCTCCACCATGATGGGAGGGAGTGATCAAACTATAGACGTGAGACAAAAATGGCTGCAACATCAACACAAGTCCGGGTGTGCATGGGCACGAAGCCTTCGTCCTATAGTCACAGCAAGTTACCTGGCACGTCAGGTCAAATGCGCTCACATCACAGGACAATTTTATACCTCACGCCCGGCGAGTTGCGCAAGCCTAAGCACTGCAGGACGCCGCTACTCGTAAGCAGCCCAAATTGCATGACGCCATTTATAGCATGCCCGTTCCCAGGCACGCTTTGGCAGATCCAGTCGTGGAGTGGCCGGAAGCTGCCAGCCCTGCTCTTGCAAGCCCTTGTAGCGCTTGTAGGCGTCGTGGCTCCTCATGCTCTCCAGCATGCGGGCCCGCTTTTGCGCTGGTCCGCCTCCTACATTTTCAGGCGTATCATTGCCTGATACCGTGGCCAGCTTTGACACAGGCATGGGATCCATATGCACTATGTGAAAACAGTTAATACCGAGAGTCGCAACGTGGAGCGCAACAGCTTTGGGCCAAGTCCAGTGCATTGGTGCCAGACAGGAGCCTTGTGACTAACGTCGAACACACAACGAGAAACCAAAATTGGGACTCCTCCACCAAACATCAAACATGGAATGATCCACAAGCTTCATTAACATGGGCTTCACAAAAAAGCCCGAAACGTAAGATTGGGTAGGACAAGCTCGTCAACATGCTGCGAACCGGACTTCAAGAAGGATCCCTATGCCTGAGAATCCAGCAAGAAACGCAAGCACACTTTTTTGCGCTCAAGCTGCACGCACAAGCGCAAACCCGCTACACACACAGCTGGGCTAGTGGTGTTTTGATTGCTGTTGTTTGATGTGATTGTGTTTTCTTATGTGTGTGATGTGTGTGTGATGTGTGTGATGTGTATGGAATGTGTGTTGTTGGTAGCTGCCACTATCCCGGATGCGCGTGCTCGTAGATTTCCAACGTTGCGGCCCAAAACCTACATCAACGCCGGGCAAACCCACAGAGAGAACTCATGATTATGCCATTTGTTGGTGGATAAACCTCAAAACTCACATGTGAACTGAGCCACTATTGAGGCAACAAATCAGGGATTGTGCATAATATTCTTGGCCCATACGTGTGGCAATCGCAATTCAACATATGGTCTTTGGTGCTCCCAGTTTGTGAATCATACAACATCAGGCGATACCTAGAATGCGTCAGATTTATCAATTGATAAATTCTACGAGCTCTACTGGACCCCAAATTTATCAATTGATAAATTTGGGGTACCTACATGGGCACCAGATTTATCAATTGATAAATTTCATTGCAAAATGGACACCAGATTTATCAATTGATAAATCGCGGTGCAAAAATGGACAACGGATTTATCAATTGATAAATTTCGACGCAAACGTGGACACTCGATTTATCAATCTAAAACACTTCACCCTGAAAGGGTCCATGATTTATATGAAACAAATCCATGCGCGTGCCCAGCAATTCATGCAGAGGCCTCTCCTGTAGGCGAGGCGACGCCCAATCAGAACCTAGATCTTCGAACTCATGATCTTCGAAACACAATCAGCCACCCCAAGGTACAACCATGCATCCAACAAACCTTCAACAAGGCGTGCCCGTGGCACTGCCAATGAATATCAGAACTTCAAACACATTCATCCCAAACCCTAAGAATTTAAGACTATATTTTCTTGAAATTCAGTTGCAGCACGATGCAAACTTCTTCATCCCAAACCCTAAGAATTTAAGACTATATAGCCCAAATTTGGGTTGTTGTTTTTGTCCCCAAAATTAGTGGCCCAAATTCTCTTGAAATTCAGTTGCAGCACGATGCAAACTTCTTCATCCCAAACCCTAAGAATTTAAGACTATATTTTCTTGAAATTCAGTTGCAGCACGATGCAAACTTCTTCATCCCAAACCCTAAGAATTTAAGACTATCTTTGCTTGAACAACTCAGCTGCAAGACT